TAATTTTTGTATTTTTAGTAGAGACAGGGTTTCACCATGTTGACCAGGATGGTCTCAATCTCTTGACCTCGTGATCCACCTGCCTCGGCCTCCCAAAGTGCTGGGATTACAGGCACCGTGCCAGCCTGAAAATGTGTCTTAAGATAGTCCATTTCTCTTTCATGTAAAATATACCAAGATGTAGGTAGTCTAAGGCTGGCAAAGTACCTTCCTGTTTATCAGAGTCACGTCACGTTTTCTGCCGTACATTCTAGCAGATGGCCTAAATCTTCAGGATGAATTTAAGTGCTATGATAACTGCTGAATCTCCAAACACCTTTGGAGATTAAATGATGCAGATAAAAAAGAAAAAATGTTAAAAGGCACAAGGGGGCTTTCCCCAGTTGTCTGCTTACTTTTTTAAGGAACCCTCCCACTAGACCTCTCAACAACTTCCGTTTCCATTAGTCAAAACTTAGTAGCATGATCACACTTAGCAACAAAGATAGTGATAGATTAGATAGATGATAGACAGATAGATAGATTTTTTAAGTGGGCACACTGCCATTATAAATAATAGTGAGTCTGCTGGTAATGAACAAAGGATGTTGGATCCACTATAGTCTGTTAAGCCTAGTAATATGACTTTCTTGTTGTTAGCTATACACTGGTTTGCTGTAATCCCACTTACAATTTTTAAATTTATGTTCACAAACATGGTTTGCATGGTTTGCAAAATTTTTTCTCCAAAATTTCTATTTGGTGGGAAAGTTGTAAAATATTGGGATTATCTCTCCTTGGTTTTTCCTTATAACTAATAATTATTCCTGAAAACTCTGGAATGTTTTTCTTTTCGGGGGTGGGGTAAAAATAGAGGGACTAGGTAGATTTACAAACCAGTGATTCAATTTGTTTTGTAAAATTTTCATTTCCTTAAAAACTCTAAGTCCTAATCAAGTCTTATTCTTTCCCACAGTATCTGATTCCTAACCTCAATACCGTCAACATTTCTGGCTTCTGCCAGGCAAGGCTACATGTAGCTTTTCATCTGAAAAAACAACAAACTAAAATCTAACCCTAGGTACTAGTCAACTGAATATAAACTTTCTCTTATGAATTTATTCTGACTTCTTTGGTATCAGGAATAAAATACACTTTTACAATATTTCCCAGATTGGGGGATATACTTCAGCAAATATCTGCGATTCTTTGTTTACATAAGATTTCTCTTCCCTTCTGTGAATCATCATTCTTCACCCCAGGTATCTTGAGATTGGATTCTGTATGATGAACAGAACACACAAAAAATATGGCATTTGGAAATCATTAAATTCCCCCTCTTCAAGGATGAAAGTTTCTTTAGGGTTCCCTCCTCTAATAATGTACAAAGCAAAAGCTGTTTCAGAAATATTTGCCGTGTTGAATCCTTATATTCCAAGATAGCCCTAATCTAACTGGCAGGGTCCCACTCTTCCCAGATTAATGCCCACTCACATAACAGATTTGATGAGATAGTGAAGAAAATTAATTTTGTGAGTAGACAACTGGTAGAATTTATCACCACTCTGACTCTGTAGCTACACACAAATATTTTAAGCAGCATCACTGATGACACATTATCTTAAATTTAGGTTTTAAGATCATTATTCTCCATGTTATAGATGGGCATCAAAAGCAGTCCCCTCTTGACCACACTCCAGAATTGTTTGAAACTTTTCAATAACAAAAACTTATCCATTTCCCTAGAGGCTCAGTGAGTATATGATGCCAACAGTAAGTTTCATGACCTCATAGCATGGGCCAAGTTCCTCCCATGGAATATAAATGGAAACTTGAAAGACTTCCATCCTGTCGTGGGAAACAACCATTTCCAAATATCCACATATCCTTGCAAGCTCTCTCTAGCCCCCATTTCTGAAGCAGTCTGATTTAGTAAGCT